TACGTGTGTTTGCACTGTTTTACACCGAAAACTGCATCCTTTAGATTTTGGTTTGTACCAAGTTCTTTTTCATTTAATAGTATATATTGCAGGTATTTTGTTAACAGTAACTAAGGAGTGTCTTTTTTAAAACAGAAAACAACTATTAAGTAGTCTCATTACATAAATATACGATTATTAGTTTGCTTTCTTTCCTGTTGATGGATATTTAGGTTATTTCTAATATTTTGCCCTTATTCAATGCTACAATAAGTAATTTTGTATATGCACCGCTTCATGAGCACTAATCTCTTAGCTGAGCTCTTTTCTCTTGCTCTTCTCTTCCTCCAATCCATTCTCTAACAATCAAAGTGATATTTTAAAAACATAATTCAGATTATGTCATGTTTATGCTTCAGATCCTCCAGTGACTTCCCATCATATTCAAAATAAAAACCCCACACTCCATGCCAGGCTACCACAGCTCCAAGGGCCCAGCTCTGCCAGTCTTCCTCCTCGCCCCTCCCTGTGTCACCGCACTCCGGCCTTCTTTGTGTTTCTCAGACATGCCGAGCTTATTCTATAGTGTGGGGCGATGCACTAGCCACCTAGAATATTCTCTCCTTGATTTTCATATTGCTGACTCCCTGTCATTGAGGTTTTGTTTTAAATGCAGTGGTGTGCTGGTAAAGGTTTAACAGCCAGCTCTCTGGGAAAAGGAAGCCAAGAGTTGTAGTGTTTGCCAATTTGTGTTAATACCCCGCCATGGCCTATTTAAAGTTACCAGTGGGATGTCAGAGCAGCTCACAAACTTGTGGACATTTTAACAAGCCATTCTTTTGAGCTGGTATCCGGCTCTGGTCCAGCAGTGCTCTAAATGTTGCTTCTCTTGAATAGCCAATCTAAAGTAAGTCTCTACAGTCACTGTGAAACCTTTTGAATTAGTCGGTTTCTGTTGCTTGTAACAGAATACCTGAAACTGGATAGTTTACAAGGAAACAAAATCTATTTCTTACAGTTCAGAGGCTGGGAACTCCAAGGCCCAGGGAAGGCGTCTGGTGGTGACTCTTCACAGCAATGTTGGGGTAGCACAGCAGGAGAGAAAGTGGTATGGGCGAGAGTGAGCTAGCCTTCTCCCTCGCTCCCTCATCCAGCCGTCAGTACCATGCCCGTGACAACCCATTAAACCACCAAACCCTTACTTCATGAATGGATCAGTCCATTCACAGGGCACAGTTCTCAAGATCCAGTCATCTCTCAAAGTCCCCACCTTTCAAATTCCATAACT